GGCCGACGAGTGGACGTCGCCTTGCGGGGCGACGGGGCGCTCGCTGGTGGCACGTGCGTGGGATACACACGACACACGTGAGTGTGTGTGTGTGTATGTGTGTGCGCGCGCGCGCATGTGTTGTGGCAGAGCTGCGCAGAGACACCCTGCCGCGAGACTGTAGCTCATTCGAAATAGCGCGCGCGCCCGCGCTTTGCACTGCTGGGCTGGGCGGATTTTCGTCCGTGACTCTGTTTATATGTAATAAGTTACTATTTCCAGAGACACATGCGCAGGCGCAAGGTTTCTGTTGGTGAACGAAGTGGCATGCAGTTCGTCGACATCCATGAGAGGGAGAGACATTATTTTTCTGCGAAAGTGTCGAGATAGATGGGAGTCCGCGAGGTATTTAGTTTTATGGTGCTTACAAGCCTTTCGCACATAGGAGGGTGCTTTCAGCCATTTTGCAGCGTCCGTAGGCTGCCGCTAAGACACTCTGCAGACCTCTCTTACACGATGTGGTCTCTATCGTGTGGGTTCCAAAGCATTTCAACGAGCCGCCAGCCGACGAGCTGCGGCCGCCCCCCGGCCGCGAAGTGTGAAACTGTTTACTGCTCCCCACGGTGTGCTCTCTGCTGCTCGGCCGGGGAAATCTAGCATTTAGGTGGAAAAGGGGGGGGGGGGCAAGGTGAGTGTCGAAATAAATACGTTCGGAAAGGAAAGAAACGGGGTGCAAAATTCCCAATTTCACTAGCTCAGTCGTGGGTTCCAAGCTCACACGGCGCTCAGCCAGTCGGTCAGAAACAAAAACATCCGAGCTTTTCGGAAGGGGGTGACTTTTGAGTACGATCGTTGCTGATAACCCTCACACGCCCCGCCTGGGTCGCCTGCTGCCCTGGGATAACGTCCACAAGTCGGTGTCACATCCGAGTGGCAGTGGCTCATTATCTTGGGTTGGCCTGGAAGATCGTTAGCTACTAGCACACTAGTGGTCTTACTTTACTACTACTACTACTTCCCACGGAGCTGCGAACCACCGACCCGCCAGTGATGAGATAGTCAAAAGTCATCATTATCGCCTGGTCTTCCCTCTCAGTTATCTCAACTTTCGACACACACCATCGTAAAAGACACGTCGGTAACAGTGTGGCAGCAAATGTAAAGAAACATAAAGTGCAGTATGGTAGCTCAGCCAACTCGTCACTATCTCGTCACTTACACGACGCGGATAGGAACGTCGCTATACAGCGGGCAGGCAGGAGAGTGTCAAGATTGGCGCTAGCTAGCGTTGGCTAATCTATCGTCATTGGGGGGATTACGCGGGGGCAAAAAAAAGAGGGAATTCGTCTCAGGCGCGCATCAGCAGATCGGGCGAGAGTGAGATAGGTTGTTTACAAGTTGGTTGCTTACGGTTGCTTACTTTCACGTCGGGGCCAGCGTCGGCAGCGGCTTAAGCCTCCAATTGATTTCTTTTCACGCGGCGCTCTTTGCCAACAACAACAACGCACATCTGCGTTGTGTTGGGCAGAACGAGCATTGCAAAGACTTGCACTGAGAACAAATACTTGTTCTTTTTTTAGGGATCGTCTAGAAAGGTACAGCCGTTTATCAGGCTCGGCGCCTGCGACACTCGAGGTAGGCCACCCCGCGGTACACGCATGCACTGCATGCAAGGTGTTGCCTACCGACCAGGCGCTACGAGACCTGCTTGTAGTGGCTAAACTTGGCAATTTCGTAACGGCATTCATGACGGACGCACTTTTTATGCAGTCCCCAAGACTGGCTTTCTTTTTCCGATGATCCCACCACAAAGCTGGGGGGCAATATGGTGTTAACATGTGAAGCAAGCCAAGAAGCAAGCTGACGACGTCTTTATCTGGAGCGTCAGTGTGGTGGACGCTGGGCCGCACACGGGTGCACGAGGTCAGCTTTTATAAGTGGGGTCCCCTGGGGCCCGCCCCCGCCACGCCCACCCGCACAGCGACTCTAGACTCCACCCGCATCTAGCGACAAATGATTGATCTATTTTACTGGCGTGTCACGTTTGTCACTCAATCGACACTAGAGATAATGGAGAGCCGGATATTTTTTCCAAAAAAAAAAGTTTGGTGAAGGTGGAAAAAAAGAAATTAAGCATACCCAGAAAAAAATTGAAAACAAATCAGACGTTCACAACAACAAAATCTTTAAAAAAAAAAGAAAGAAAAAATCCCGATTTTCTTTCTTTTTTTGTTTTGTTTTTCTTACTAGAAAATTTTTATTCCCCATTGAAACACGTGCTGCTTCAAAGATTATTATTGTCGACTGCCTGGTTTTCTTTCAAGTGTTGGTGTCGTTGTGCCTCATTTACGAGCTCGTCCTCCTTTTGCCCACACTCCTCCCGTTTCACACAAATGTTTGTCGTTTGCGTTGCAGCCGTCGGCTGCCCGAGCCTCGAGACGCCCCAGGACGGCCAGCAAGTGCACCGGGACGAGGTGTCCGCCAGCTACCTGTGCAGGCCGGGCTTCGTGTTCCAGGACAGCGGGCAGCGCGCGCGCACCCTGGTCTGCGCGCACGGCAACTCCTGGAACGACACGCTACCCTCCTGCGTCAGTGAGTGTCATTGGGGGCCTTCCCTGGTGTCCAGTTGAGACGTCATGTTTTTTATGCCACTTGATCTCAAATTGACATACATACCATACCACAGCAAAGTCCCAAAAATGGCCAAATTTCGGCGTCCCACTTTTGATGTTGTAGAATTGACAAATTGGTACGGGTGAGGTCTTTGGTATTCTTTGGTCAGTAGTGCCATTTCAACTCTATGAGGATTGATTTAAATTTTCAGACGTTCAGTGAGTGCAGCTGTGAGCAGCTATGGGGGGTTGGCAAAAAGCAGCAAAGTGTCGACCGCATAATGGCCACAAATCTATTTTTAATTTATTTGTGTAATTTCCTCTCTTTGAACTTCAAAGTCTTTGGGTTTGATTTTTGTATGTGCAACAGGAGTATTATGTTTTCTTTGGAGCACTTTTTTTAATGCAATTTTGTTTCAGATATCTCCTTGACCTCCGCCTGGAAGAGAGCTGGTGTTGAATCTTGGACATTCTCTGACGGTAATAATACAAAAATTGTCATGGCTACCCCGGAAAGTGGAGACAATGACACCGTTTCGAGTAAGTTTCCAAAAGCAAATGCAGAACATTTTTCCCCCCCTCAAGAGACTTGCTGAATGACAGAAATTTATTTTCAGGAGTCATTGTTCCAAGCGTCATCATGGCCATGCTTTTCTTAGGAAATGCAGTTGTGCTCTATGTGCTCTTCATGCTGAAGAAGAGGTGGCTTGCATAAAAAGATGATTAACTGAATTATTGCTTCTATGAAGTTTGTTTTAAATTTTGGTATTCCCACAGAAACAAGAAAAAATGTGCCGAAGATGAGGAAAGAGCAGCTATAGTGAAGAGGAATGGAGCAGCCAAAGTCGAAGAGTCCGAAATTGGAACTGAAGACTTAAATGATGTCACCGTCACAGAAAATGTGGTGGGTGACGACCGGTGCTGACTGCCATTCTGGAAATTTAATTACAAGACTGTTGAAGACTAGGTTCTCATTTTAACTAGGACATCATCTTTCTTTTTTTATTTTCTATCTCATGGATTTCTCTGATCCCCCCCAGTTCCTTTCCCCACAGTGTTGTGCAGAGGAATGAATTTACTTTTCATTTTTTATAGTTTTTTCTTTTTTTTCTTTTTTTAAAATTAGAAACAGTTAGCATCACATTTATACTGGTACCTAAAAGCAATTTTTGTGAAGAAAAAAAGGGCCCTCTCAGAGTTTAGTAAGTTTCACTTTTATGGGTACCAGCATTTACCAATTCAATGTCCTACCTATATTTTGTATCAGGTTCTGATTTTAACTTGCTGCTCTTGATTTGTTGGTTCCTAACATTTCCCACCTTTGAAACAAATTGACAGAATGTAATATTTAGACTGAAAGCAATATATAATATAATACATGGTATTTCATGAAATACTTTTTCCATCCAGTGAGTTAAACCCAGGGATAATGTACCTCAGTAGAGCGACCATGTACTTCTGTAAGAATTCAATGGGCTTTGAAGACATCACTATCTAGATACTACTTTTCATGA